ACGGTGTCGGAAGCGTCCGTCACCAGCTGGATTGAGGGAGGAGGCTGGACAAATGGGACACTGCCTCTCATTCTCTCCTCTCCGAGCCACCAGTTCAGGGATGACAGGACCCAGTGAGGGACCCTGACTACCATGTCTATGTGGTCACGGGCTGGCCTGTACACCAAGGTCAGCTAGGTCTAAAAGGGCCCAAGGCACAAACTGGCATGCTACACTACAAAGGTGCATGGCGCCATGTAACCTAACAGCTTCAGGCAGTTTCTTGCAGTAGTCATTGGCGATGTCTGGAGCTGCTGTATAATGCTCTGCAGGGTAAATGAATCTGTCCCATAGGAGGGAGGCACGACCCAAAATGGCATCTAGCCTGGCCCCCACAAACTCTTATCCCCTGGGTGGAGGTGAGAGTAGACTTTTCCTCATTCAGAATCAGGCCCAAGGCAGAGAAGGTGTCCCTGGCCAGAATGATGTGGGAGAGCACCTGCTTTCTGGACCTGACCCTGACCAGCCAATCTTCTAGGTAAGGACAGACGTACAGGCCCCTCCTTCTGAGGATGGCAGCCACCACCGTCATGCACTTGGTAAATACCCTGGGGGCTGTGGACAGGCCAAACAGTAGACTTGTAAACTGGAAGTGTTTCCTGCCCACTGTGAAGCGCAGGAATTTCTCATGGTGTGGGACAATTGATATCTGGAAATACACATCCCTGAGCTCGAGGGTGGCATACCAGTCTCCGAGATCAAGGGAGGGGATGATGGTGGCTAACATGACCATCCTGAACCTCAACTTCCTTATGTGGGCACTGAGCCCCCGGAGGTCAAGGATAGAACAAAGGCCCCCTTTTGACTTCGGGATTAGAAAATAACAGGAGTAGAAACCCCTGCCCCGAATGGTAACGGGACCTCTTCTATTGCTTCCAAGATTAGGAGCGAGGAGACCTCCTGCCTAAGCAGGATCTCATGAGAGAGATCCCTGAAAAGGGACTGAGAAGGGGGGTGGGAAGGTGGGGAGGCAAGAAAAGGGATAGAATATCCCCTTTCCACCATGTTCAGGACCCAACAGTCCAATGTAATGGAGTGCCAAGCACAGTAGAAAGGGAACAGTCTAAAACAGAAAAGATGACCTGACTCTAGCACTGGTTTTCCATCACTGGGTGTACCTTCAAAAGCCCGATCTTGGGCCTTGGGGTCTATTAGATGGTCCTTGGCCCTGGTAGATATTAGGCCGCGGACCCCTACTAGATCCCCTATTGTTATTGGACCTATTCGTCCTCCTGCTATCGTACCTAGACCTTTGTTGCTGACCTCTCTGAGGTCTCTGGAACAGTTTACGGCGCTGTGAGACAGGCATGTGTATCCCTAGTGATTTCAAAGTTGCCCTAGAGTCCTTCAGGCTGTGGAGGCTGCTGTCAGTTTGCTCCAAAAAGAGCCCCGAACCTCCAAAGAACAAGTCTTGGAGTGTCACTTGCACTTCCTGCAGGATGCCAAAGACTTGCAGCCACGAATACCTGCGCATAATAATCTCCCTTCCCATCAACCTTGCTGCCGAGTCTGCAGCGTCAATGGCTGCCGGGAGGGCTGTCCTGGATACTATTTTGCCCTCTTCATTGAGCGCTGGAAACTTTGCAGGAGCTGAGCCTTGAACTTTTCCATTGCCACCCAGGATTTGTAAGCATATCTGCTGAGCATTGCTTGCTGGTTCGCAATTCTCAACTGCAGACCCGCTGTGGAATATGCTTTCCTCCCCAGCAAGTACAACTTCTTGGGCTCCTTGCTCTTTGGGATGGGTCCTGGCTGCCCTTGTCTTTCCCTCTGGCAGGCCGCCTGAACACTGCAAAGCCCAGAGGCGGGTGAACAAACAGATGCTTGTTCCCATTTTGGGTACAAAATACCACCTCTCAATCCCCTTCTGAGTAGGGGGAAATCGAGGCTGGTGTCTGCCACAAGTTCTTTGTGATCTTCGTCACCGTCTTATTGAGAAGAAGTACAATTTTAGATGGAGCGCCTGCCGTGAGGATGACCACCACTGGGGTCAGCCTCTTCTTTGATTTCCTCAGCGTGGACCCCTAGGTTTTGTGCCAGTTGCTTAAGCAGCTCCTTGTGGGACCGCATGTCCATTGTCGGCATGACCAGGGAGGGATCAGCCAGGGCCTTGTCCGGTGGAGAGAATGCTGATTTCCTCTGCTCTGGGTGATTCTCAACCTCTGTTCTAGGCTCAGGCTGGGTATCGTGGACACCTGAGGACCTCACCGAAGGTGTTCGAGGAGGTGGGTGGGCAGGGGTTCCTACCGAGCCTAGGGGAATAGGTCTGGACTCTGACCCCTGCTCTCTGATAAGTGGGGTAGCTGAGGGAGCCGTTCTGTGGGTCAAGTATGTTGACGTCACAACCAAACCCCGTCTGGAGGGATCTGGATCTTGGGCTTGGTGGTAGGCCCAAGGCGTTCAGAAGGACCACTGCGGTGGTGGTTGCCATTGTGGGGGCCAAGTTTGGTCTTGGTCCCTCTGTCGGTGCCGGGACTGGGATTTATGCCCAGATTGGTGCCACTGCCTCGCAGCCTGTGAGGACCGTGACCCTCTGGAGTCCACAGTACAGAAGGAGGATGCCCTGGACACCAGGGACTCTCCATCTGACTCTGAAGAGAGTTCACATGCAGACCAGGGCAGTGCCGTGGAAGAGGCATGCTCAACTCCTCTTACATGCTGTGGCATTGCCAACGGCTTACCCCTGTGCGGTGGCGGCATATCTGGAGCTCCTGGCACCGGGAGACATAGTACTGTCTACAGCTCTAGTGCTGAATGTGACAGCTACACCACCTCCTGCACCGGCTGTGATGGTGCCAAATGAACCGGTGCTGGGAGACCTGGGGATCGGTGCCTCGGTGCCATCTGTGGAGCTGGTGTCTGTACTGAGGAAGGGACCGGCCTGGCCCTGAGAGTCTCTCTGGTCTCATACTCTATGGCACCCCGCGGTACCAGAGCCGTCGAGGATGTCAGTTCAATCAGCTCCCGAGCCGCGTTAAAGGTGTCTGGGGTAGATGGCCACGTGATCTCCTCCAAAGGCAGGTCCTGGGCCTCTGGGGTGCTGGCCCTCGGAAGGCTTCGCCATCTGCTTGACGAAGGCGAGGTCCCACGGCACTCTATGTGGTCATGCCTGGCGGGCGATCTCCCTCTATGCGACTTTTTTGAAGTCACTGGTGGAGAGGATTGGAACCGATGCCGTGGTGCTGACCGGTGCCGCTGAGTGCCTGGAACCATGTTCAGTCTCTCTCGTCAACCCTAGTGTGCTCATAACCGACGGCTCTGACTCCGGTGCCGCAGGGCAAAGCGCCAACTCCATTAAAATCAGCTTAAGTCTGGAGTCTCTCTCTTAGTCCGAGGCTTAAACAACTTACAGATTCTGCATGAATCTGTCAGGTGGCCTTCCCCCAGGCACTTGAGGCAATCTTTATGTGAGTCCCCACATGGCATGGGCTTGGAGCACCAGCGGCAGGGCTTAAAACTGTGGGGCCCTGACATGCCTGGGGGAGCAAAACAACTAACTCTAGTTAGAACAAATACCTAACAATTAACTGTGAACTACTCTATTTACACACTAAAAGAAAACTAAGATAAGCTAAGGGAACACTTGCAATTGATCCCAAGTCCGAGGGTTCCAGCAACCATCACAGGTGGAAAGAAGGAACTGAAAGGGGGAGGCAGGGCCAGCAAGGGGTTCCCTGGCACCACTCCAGGGGGCTCCCTGGCTGGCCCAATGGGTGCTGCTCAGGGTAAAAATCTTCCAGAATTTGTGCACGAGGCACGCCCACACCTAAACGGAATGGACATAAGCAAGCACTCGAACGTATGATACTGGATATATAAATAATTGCAGCAAGGTATTAGGGAGGTTAAAATATGTTTCTTTGTGTAAACATGTATCCACTGAAATTTTCAGCAGATACACGTAGGGAGCTGACTTTCTGTGTTCCGGCTCCAGCCAGCTCACCACCAACTGCCCCCCGCCAACGGCAGGGGAGGATGGTGGTGGTGGTGGCGGCGGCGGCAGTAGCAGGGAGCTGGGTTTTAAACTGGCTCCCTCCAAGCACTGACTCCTGCCCCTCCCACTTCTTCTGTGAGAGGCAGCAGCAGTGGGAGGGGTGCGGCTTCCGATGTGCCCTGGCTCCCCCCCCCGGTCTCTCATACAAAGGCAGTGTGTGTGGAGGGGGGGCTGCATGTCACAGACGGTTATCCAATGTGCCCAGGCTCATTGGTTAACCATGTTTGAACTACACAGTCACATCCCCAGAAGATATGGTCCTCCTTTAAAGACAAGTTATTGTTCTAACCTTTTAACAGATCATTTTCTTGTAAGTTCAAATTTCTATTTTATTTTATCTTTACGCAATTAGAATTTCATTGCTTTAACTAGCATATTGCTTTTTCTGTGGAAGGGATTAAAGAGAGTCACTGTTCTTTATAATACACAGAAAACTACGGGGCAGCCCCTTATACTCGCCATGCCCATTCTTGCTGGGGGTAAGAGTCTGGCCAGAGGAGAGAGGTCAGGTGCAGGCTAGGGGTCTGGATGGGGGAGGGGGGGGGATAGGGCGGGGGGGTGTAGGGGTTGGATGGCGTTGGGGACCTGGTGTGGCCCAGGGGTGTGTGTGGAGGAGTGTAAAGCAGAAGATGGAACTGAAGCAGCCCATGCCCATAGGAGATGGCACAGAGGTTGGCCACAGCAAGTGGCTGAGAACACAGGTGGAGGTGGGCAGCAGCAGCATGAGGATGCAGATGATGTCAGTCTGTCATCCCTCAGGAAAATTTTTTTAGATGGGAGAGGGAAAGATATATAGATAAAGATAGAGAGAGAAGGGTATTTTTAACACGTGCATTTCTACGAAATATTTTAAAGAGTGGCCTCTATCATGCTGTAACTAGGATTAGAAATATAGGATTTGAAGCATCAGTAGAGTTCAACAAAGCATATATGTATGCATAATACTACCATAGGAGCCCTCAGTTACCTGCTGATTTCACAAGCAACTCGTCCTTTCATCTCTATGACATCAGAAGATGTAGCAAAACCCAATCTTCTCAATACACGTTTGCGGCACTTGAGCTCATCCATTTGTAAGACAGTTCTAGCTTTCTTCAGTTCACGCTTTGCTGTTCTAATATCCACTGCAATCTATGAAATCCAGAAGTATACAAAAAAAACCTTTCAGAACCTGTCTTCTCAACACAGGCACTTAGATATCATCAGCAGAAGACAAAGATACAGATAGGCATTTAAAAATATGTATTTACACAGCTTCCACCATCATAGTATTTGAGCAACACAAACATTAATTTATCTATGCCCACTAGAGGATGGAAAATATTATCCCCATTTTAACTGATGCACAAGAATCAAATGACCTCATGAAAGTCACACATGAAACTTGTGGCTGAACTGAGAATTATGAATCCCAGGTCAGTGCCTTCACCACAAGACCATCCAACAATAATCAAATACAAACAAATTGTGTCTCAAAACTTGCAATATACTGATCAACTAGAATGACAGATGCCTTCTTTATAATTGTAGGGTAGGATAAAGAGTTTCAAAACAAATACATTTAGAACCTTTGATGCCAAGAGCCTTCCAATAACTGTTCTTCCCCAGCCCTCTTGGCACCACGCAATTAAGGAAGTCTAGACTGGAGAGCTAATTCAAGGCTAATTTATCATCAGCCAGACTCAGATATCCTAACAGGAGCTAAGCAGCACTTTAGTCCAACAAGTCCTATTCATTTGCATATGCTCACAGAAAATGGGCACTGTTTCAATATAATAATGAAAGAACCAGGAACTAGTGACTTCTGTGAGATTAGACTGAATATAAGGCAGCAGAGAATTTGTCCCAGCATGTGATCTCACTTATTTTGCTTATCAAATATTTCATTTGGATTTGTTTTTAAGGAGACTTCTTTACATCATTCCTATCAATGTAGTAGGCATGAAAGTAGTCAGGGTAGTCTGAAAGTGTAGAAAAACTAGTCAATTATATATCTGGGATGTGTGAGAATATACATTATTTGTATTAAGAACATTACTAAATTATCTTTACTGATTAGGATAAGTGACAAATGAACAGCCTTCTGGTCCATGTCAATTTGTTCTGAAAAAGATTAGATGTGCTTACTTTATATCAAATACCTGAAAAAAGTGAAACGTTCTCCATGAAAACTCAATGAGAGCTACTGAGATTATGCAATATTGCTTTTTTGGAGGAGGGTAACTAGCATTTTCTTTCCAGATAAAATGTATTTAGTGAGAGGTACACACGTAGTGACTGTGCCTTGAGCTAACTGCCAATATAGCTCAGACCTTACCTGTGCTTTTCTTTCGCAGAGCTTATATACAGTTTCCAAACTGGAATCATTGTGAAGTGGATGTGAATACATCCTATGTTCAAAAGCCTCTATTTTTTGGATGACTTTTTTCAGTCCTTGGTCTTTGATGCCCATATCATCAATGGGGTCCAATAATGGAACTCCATCGGGGAACCTCTTCTGTACTTCCTGAAACAAAAAAACAAAAAAAACATTTCTGAAAAGCAAATATTAGTAGCAATACGAGAATGTATAGCTTCAAATTTACATTTAAAAGGACAGATTGAAAAACAAAGCAACTGGCACAATTAGATTATTTAAAGGATGTATGAAACTTGAACAAAAAAGTTTCTTTGATGCTGAAACTTGGCATATTTCAGTTTTTAAAATAACGATGTAAGTCGTTTTATTTGAAGACAGCCAGTGTTTTACATATCATATATTCAGTTTCTAAAACTCAAAATCTCAAGAAAAGAAGCAAACCTGAATGTGAATGTTAAGAAAGCTCTCTCATGCCCTATTGTGACTCACTGTTTACTGCTTGTTTTATTATTTTATTTTTATTCTTGTGGAACTTACATACCTGTATAGATTTTAACACACTTTGCCTGTTGTCAATTGGCCTCAGGTCTTTGGGTATGTAAAGTCGGACACTGCTGATAGCTGAGAGAAGATGCACCAAAACAGGAACAACCTGACAACAACAATCATGTGGAAAATGATAAAGTACAATACAGGAGATTTTTATTGATGCCTTTCAATTGTTGTAAAATTCATTTTTCATTCATTTCGAATTTCTTAGCAGAAAGCAAGCTGTGATTTCATTTTTCCAGATCTGTAATAACTGTACATTGTACCTAGAACAGAAAAACTAATTCATGTTGAAATATTGGCTAAAGCAGTGGTACCCAACCTTTTTTATACCATGGACTGGGCAAACTCATTCAAAAGTTTGTTGGCAGACTGGCACTGAAATATTTGAATATTCATTATTGTAATTTTAGCCCACAGTATATCAGGTAAATCGTGGTAGAGAGGGGGGGGCATGATGATAAATAAGAATTTGAAAAACTGCTGCATACACACACATTTAAAAAAAAAACAATTAAACAGTTGCTAATTCTTGTTAAAAGTATTCTTCAGTCCAAACCTTTTACTATTCACTTACTTAATAATGCATAATCATGTGTGTGTACCTGCTGCCTGGGAGCAGCTGGAGGCCAGGGAGAGGCTACTACTGAGAAGGGAGGGAGGGAGAATCGGGTTCCTGGGGCAGCCGCAATCCACACGGTACTTGGCTCCTCTGGCCCGATCACGCAGCAGCCACCAGAGCTAAAACTAGAGCCACTGTGAGACTATCCCAACAGGGACAGCCTAACTGCGGTCCTGGTTCCAGCTCAGTACGCTTGCCTGCCCGTCACCCCACTCACCCTGCTGCTGCATGGGTAAGTTGGTGGGAAGGGAATTCCCTGGGGAACCTTAGAAGGCAGGGCTAAATTAATCCTGGGGGCAATGTACCACAGCCTGGCAGAGAAGGGTTCGCAGCTAAAGCAGCAGTTCTCAACCAGGGATTGGGGCTCCTTGGAGGGCGTCAGGGCTGTTCCCCACTCTGACACTCCCAAGTGCAGAAGATGAGGTCCCACAAGAGAGCTTAAAAACCTTGCCTCTACAGGCACTGGTTACAAAAACCTTCCCTCCAGAATCACAACACACAGATTACGGGGAATTGCTGCCACCATCAAGTGATTTTCAGCCCTTAAAAAACCAAGGGTGAATACCTGAACCCACCTCCAGAGGTACCCCAAGCTCTTTTGCCCCAAAAGAGCTTGAAAAAAGAAAGAGAAAAACAAGCTGCAGTCTCTGGTAGCTGACCTCTCAATCTGAAGCATGCAGATAGACACACAGACAGACAGACCGACCTTCCAGGACACAAGAATCAAATCACCACCTTAAAAAAGTGATTTTTATTACAAAACAAAAGATAAACTTGATAAAGCATACTTGGTTGCTAGATGTTAGAGAGCAACCAAGGAAAACAAATTAAAACATAGAGAAAAGTCTCTAGACACAAAGCTAGATGGTAAATGGGGATGGGAGGCAGAGATTCACACAGAACAGTTCAAACCAAACCACTAAATAAAGAAAAAAAATACCCTGAACGCAACTAGAGACTCACTTTACTTACTTCTAATCTTCTCTTTATTCAGATCACTTCCATGCCCCAAATTCCTTGGAGGCTTGGTAGTCCTGCCTAGGTTTAAATCATTCTGTCTGTCAACTCCTGGTTTAACTTTCCCCCACAAAGAAAGCAGGCAAGGCACCTTATACAGCAGTGGTCTCCAACCTTTTTACACCCAAGATCACTTTTTAAGTCTCAGAACAGGCAAAGATCTACTGCCCCGCCCCTTCCTTGAAGCCCCGCCTATATTACATGAGGAAATCTAATGTAAATGTACTGCGCAGGTACGCAGTTCAGAGAGGGCTCAAGAGCTACTCTTAGAGCCCCTGAGATCTACCGGTAGATCACCACGGTTATACAGTAATTACTTGCTTAACATGTTTCTGCAATAGCACGATTTTTTTTAGGGACCGTTTTTTGAATAACACTACCATCCCCAAAATAACATGAAAATAATCAAATGGCTGACTACTTCACGCAGTGGTATAAGTTGGTGAAAACAGTGGTAATACACAAGTGGATGAATACATGTGGTCACAGCGCTCCTCCGCTCACTCAGGTGTTTATCTTTGTGTTTTAACAAACCGCAGAGACTTGTGTTGCTCGATAGCTAATGTTGACGTTGACGACACAGCACCAACAAAAAATTGACTTTGCCACCACCACCTGAAACACAACCCCTACCTATTCCATTATTTGTAATGGGAAAATTGACCTCGCATAGCACGTTTTTGCTTAGCACAAACATTTTCAGAAACGCATCTATAGTGCTAAATGAGGAATTACTATATAATTCAAATTCCAGTCCTCCATTTTGATTGGTTCTCCCGGCCCCTTGGCCGACACCCATGCTAGCTATCTGAGTTAAACTCCTTAGCAACAGGGTGCTAATCAGCAGTCCTCCTGTCCATTACAGAGGGCCACAAGCAGCTTTCATGGGGTCCTTCAAGCAGCATTAGACTTGTTGGATTCAGAGCAGAAAGCTAAGTCCCATCACATGGGGCTGAAGCCTGTAATCCTGAGCCCTACCACCCTGAGTTGAAGACAAAGCTGGAGCAACTTAGCTTCATGGCTACTAATGTGGCATGGGGGCCCTAACACCGGCCCTAAGAAAATAAGAACAGCCATACTGGGTCTGCCGACAGTGGCCAATGCCAGGTGTCCCAGAGGGAGTGAATCGAACAGGTAATGATCAAGCAATCTCTCTCCTGCCATCCATCTCCACCCTCTGACAAACAGAGGCTAAGGACACCATTCCTTACCCATACTGGCTAATAGCCATCTATGGACTTACTCCATGAATGTTTCTATTTCTCTTTTAAACCCTGTTATAGGCCTAGCCTTCACAACCTCCTCAGGCAAGGAGTTCTACAGATTGACTATGCACTGTATGATGAAGAACTTCCTTTTATTTGTTTTAAACCTGCGACCCATTAGTTTCATTTGGTGGCCCCTAGTTCTTATATTATGGGAATAAGCAAATAGCTTTTCCTTATTCACCTTCTCCACACCCCCTCATGATTTTATATACCTCTATCATATCCCCCCTTAGTCTCCTCTTTTCCAAGCTGAAAAGTCCCAGTCTCTTTAATCTCTCCTCATAGGGGGACCCATTCCAAACCCCTAATCATTTTAGCTGCCCTTCTCTGAACCTTTTCTAATGCCTGTATATCTTTTTTGAGAGGAGGAGACCACATCTGTACGCAGTATTCCAGATGTGGGCATACCATGGATTTATAGAAGGGCAATAAGATATTCTCATTCTTATTCTCTATCCCTTTTTTAATGATTCCTAACATCCTGTTTGCTTTTTTGACTACCGCTGCACACTGCATGGATGTCTTCAGAGAACTATCCATGATGACTCCAAGATCTTTTTCCTGATTAGTTGTAGCTAAATTAGCCCCCATCATATTATATGTATAGTTGGGGTTATTTTTCCCAATGTGCATTACTTTACATTTATCCATATTAAAATACATTTGCCATTTTGTTGCCCAGTCACTTAGTTTGGTGAGATCTTTTTGAAGTTCTTCAGTCTGCTTTGGTCTTAACTACCTTGAGCAGTTTAGTATTGTCTGTAAACTTTGCCACCTCACTGTTTACCCCTTTCTCCAGATCATTTATGAATAAATAGAATAGGATTGGTCCTAGGACTGACCCTTGGGGAACACCACTAGTTACCCCTTTCTATTGTGAAAATTTACCATTTATTCCTACCCTTTGTTTCCTGTCTTTTAAGTCGTTCTCAGTCCATGAAAGGATCTTCCCCCTTATCCCATGACAACTTAATTTACGTAAGAGCCTTTGGTGAGGGACCTTGTCAAAGGCTTTCAGGAAATCTAAGTACACTATACCTACTGTATCCCCCTTGTCCACATGTTTGTTGACCCCTTCAAAAAACTCTAATATATTAGTAAGACATGATTTCCCTTTACAAAAACCATGTTGACTTTTGCCCAACAAATTATGTTCTTCTATGTGTCTGACAATTTTATTCTTTACTGTTGTTTCAACTAATTTGCCCAGTACTAACTACCTGTCTGTAATTGCCAGGATCACCTCTAAAGCCCTTTTTAAATAGTGGCGTTACATTAGCTATCTTCCAGTCATTGGGTACAAAAGCTGATTTAAAGGATAGGTTACAAACTATAGTTAATAGTTCCTCAATTTCACATTTGAGTTCTTTCAGAACTCTTGGGCGAATGCCATCTGGTCCCGGTGACTTGTTACTGTTAAGTTTATCAATTAATTCCAAAACCTCCTCTAATGAAACTTCAATCTGTGACAAGTTCTCAGATGTGTTACCTACAAAGGACGGGTCAGGTTTGGGAATCTCCCTAACATCCTCAGCCGTGAAGACTGAAGCAAAGAATTCATTTAGTTTCTCCGCAATGACTTTATCATCTTTAAGTGCTCCTTTTGTATCTCAATCGTCCAGGGACACCACTGGTTGTTTAGCAGGCTTCCTGCCTCTGATATACTTAAAAAACATTTTATTATTACCTTTTGAGTTCTTGGCTAGCTGTTCTTCAAACTCCCTTTTGGCTTTTCTTATTACATTTTTACACTTAATTTGGCAGTGTTTATGCTCCTTTTATTTTCCTCACTAGGATTTGACTTCCACTTTTTAAAAGATGTCTTTTTATCTCTGCTTCTTTTACATGGTTGTTAAGCCACGGTGGCTCTTTTTTAGTTCTTCGGTGTTTTTTAATTTGGGGTATATATTTAAGTTGGGCCTCTATTATAGTGTCTTTGAAAAGTGTCCATGCAGTTTGCAGGGATTTTACTTTAGACACTGTACCTTTTAATTTCTGTTTAAATAACCTCCTCATTTTTGCATAGTTCCCCCTTTTTGAAATTAAATGCCACAGTGTTGAGCTGGTGAGGTGTTCTTCCCACCACACAAATGTTAAATGTTGTTATATTATGGTCACTATTTCCAAGCAGTCCTGTTGGACCAGATCCTGCATGCCACTCAGGATTAAATCGAAAATTGCTTCTCCCCTTGTGGGTTCCTGAACCAGCTGCTCCAAGAAGCAGTTGTTTAAGGTATATGCCTTTTATATGAAGAAAACCAGTTGCTGTGGCATAGCTGGGCCATAAAGTTTTTATAGCATCCCCATGTTAAAGAATTCTTCCCACCTGATTTTGTAACATTTTCTGACCACATGAAACTGACTGAACAGTGGTAGCATGTTTGAATTATAATTTACTGTGTGGTTTCTTCTGAAAAATTAATAATGATCATTGTACATGTTTGCTTTAGGAAAAAGACCCATATTTTTTAAGGCATTTTGCCTTGGCTTTGCACAGTACAGGCAGTCCCCGGGTTACGTACAAGATAGGGACTGTAGGTTTGTTCTTAAGTTGAATTTGTATGTAAGTCGGAACTGGTACATATTGTAGGGGAAACTCTAGCCAAACATTTCTCCAGAGCTCAGTTTTATTCTCCCACACCTCACTTCCCTCAGTCCTTTATTCTCAAGCAGAGGTGTCTGCAGAGAAAAGCCACTCCGCGTCAACCTGGTCTGCTGGGGGGGGCGCTAGCTTCGCGTCTCCCTGGTCTGCTGGGGGGGAGCAGCTAGTGCAGGGGTGCCTCACCCCGGTTGTAAGGAGG